TCTCCTGTTTAAGACCGTATGAAGAGGCCGGAGATGTAATTGTAATCTACTACAATGACAATTTTTCCTCAATTTGAACAGTTTTTGGTGTTCTTAGAGTCTGTGAGGTTATTATTTATATGATGGAGTCCACACCTGCATTGATATTGTGAGAGTAGAGAAGCCATGTCTGAATATCCACTCAGCTTCCTCCTCCAGCTCATCATCTTCAGCAGGTTTAACTGGGATGGCTCGTAACTGCATAACAAAAATTTACATAATTTCAAGGGATAATGATTTAGAGAAATTCTTGCGTGAACGAGTGTCCAGTCTGACAAATGCACTCACCTGAAACCTTTCAGGCATGTCTGTAGTACGGATCTCATTATCCTGGTCAGTCATGTGACTGCTTTCCAACTCACTGGGCTCATAAAGCTCAAAGATGCTCTTTCTACCCTGCCTCCTCTTGATCTGTTTCTTGGGTCGGTCCCAGCTCTCCTCATACTGGTCCTCTTCCTCTTCTTCACCCTGGTCATAGGCGTCTGCATCAAAGTCGGCAAAGTCGAAGTCTCCACCAAAAATTTCCTGGGCCTCTTGGAGGGCTCTGTGGCAAGATTAACATGCAGGTCATTAAATAATTGTGTACTATAAATATTCCCAAAAAAACCCACAATCCTGTAATAACATATTCGATTTCGGATAATCAATTCACAAAAAAATGAACATGTCTCCTGTGAACTACCACTATATGTATAGTAACAAATACAGGACTCACGCATCTGTGTATCCTGAGAACTTCTTTCCCCTCTTTTTAGTGATGGGCTGTCCATCATCACCCACAATAAAATCATCAATATCTGTAAAACAAAATAGAAAGACAAATTCAATTTATTTCATAAGCTCTCATCCTTTTGCATAGTTTAACTCAGATTCTATTTAATTTAAATTTGCTTCAGACCTGACTCCTCATCCTCTCCCTCTTCATCATCATCTCCATGGTGGAGAGGCTCATCCACAGGCTCTCCTCCCTCCAGCTCACCATCTGCATCACCATGAAAGATCTCATCTGCAATCAAGTCCTTCTCATCGTCATCCTCTTCATCATCATCCAGTGTTTTTACACGGTCATATTTTTTCTTCTGTGACAAAAGAACAAAGTACACCATCAGGTTAGTTCCTTAGAAGAAATCTAAAGAAACTGAATCATGATCAACATAAAGGAAGGATTCTTACTCTTCTTTTCACTTTAACTCCCAAGTTTTCCTCAATGAGGTCAAGATCATCGTCATCAAGGTAGTCATCATAATCTGTGAGGAAGGAAAAACAAATTAAATACATGTTTCAGTTCTGCTGAGGAGACACAAAACAACAAAATATTGTAGGTCATACATCTCCAAAACTCTACAACAAAATATTGTAGGTCATACATCTATTTCAAATTTAAGTAGTTTTCTTGCTGAAAGTACAAACCTAACATGAAAAACTAGATCAGGAGAATATGACAAGCCACATTACATACAGTAGGTGTACATCCCAATTATAAATCTGTTTTCACAACAGTTTGCTTAATATAGACTATCTTAAAACTCTATGATCAACCTATACAAGGAAATAAATAAATAAATAATCTATAACGCAATATCTTATTTCAGCTTAAAACTTGCATTGAAAAATTACATTTTTCAGCATTTGGTATTGGTCAGACAGATTTAGCACTACAGATTGATTCAAATTTTGTGCAAAAAAGTATTATTATAAAAGAATAATAATAACAGTGTAAGATAGGACACCTCACCCACGCAATCTAGAGCTGGGAATCAGTCATAAAAATAATAGCATCCTTACAACTTCATATGTTAGACATGACATTTTTTGTGTTTAAGAATAAGTAAAGTGTGCTTAATCAAGACCATTAAATCAACTTCCAAAACCATCTGATGATCTTACTTCGCTTTTTACGTCGATGCTTCACCTCCTCTTCTGAGTCACTCCCTGGTGGACTCCCGGCCTTTTGTTCTTCACGTTCCTCCTCCTCTTCGTCTGAATCATTAATAAGTCCACGCAAGTTTCCCTGCTCATCCTGATCCTCTGTGTTCTCCTCTTCTTCTTCTTCATCTGATGAAACAGGAGAGACAGGTACTCTATCCGTTATGCAATTCTACTTCAAACACTCCAAAATTAAAACTGCAAACCTCTAAATCTTACCATCATCTTCCAAAAACCTCTGGGTCTTTTTTGGCTTTAAGTCTTTCTCTTGCAACTCCTCTTCTGATTCTTCAGCCTCGCTCTCAATAAAATATGACATCACGGATTATTCTGAAAAAGGTTCAAGACACTATCAGCTGAGTCTATTATGTACGCAAATTTGTGGTTTTATTGGTATATATTTTCATTTTCTACAATATGTACATTCATGTCTCATTACAGCTCTTTTTATGGTCCATTCCTCATATAATGTTTTTCTTCTCTTTTCTGTACGGCAGATCCTTGGTTTATTTTGATTGAAAAATTTTCCACATTTTCAGTCACAAACATTTTAACAGAGGCAAAATAATTAAGATTTGTGATTTTGGAAAAACATATTATGTGTTTCCAGTTTCTATACTTCCAGATGCAAATGACAATTTTACAAAATGTTAGCTTAAATTACATACATTGGAAGAGTTGTGTTGTTAAAGTCATTTTGATAAAGCTTTTCTGTCCACTCCTTGTACTAATCGAAAGCTCTTCTACTGTATCTACAGCTCAAGTGACTCAATATATCAAACCGAGATAGTCGGACCCTTTCAGTGCATATATTTTAATTAACCTGGGCATCATGATTTAGACAAACCTAATTATAGTTCACAATGATGAAAATCGACCACGTAAAGTACAAATCTGACGCACACACCTGATAATTGTAACTATCACGTCCAATTTTGCAACATTTCATTCTTCAATTATTTATTTTACTGTATCGATTGCTTTAACTTATGCCTAGTTACTTACAATAAAATTGGGTATTTTGAGACAAAAAGAGAGCAAAATAATACAAACATTTCGCAACGCAAAACCGCAATGGAAGACACGTAACGTCTAAAAAATGTAATTCGTGTATTTTACTTAACTTTTGTGCTGTGGACAAATACAGTTAGAATATATTGTAAATGCTGTTGTTTACCGTTAGCAACGCCGGCTAAGCTAATTCCAATATGGTCTGTGCGAGTAAGTTGACCAGCAGTCTTTAAACAAATAGCTCTAAATCCGCAGAGCGATTGACTTTAATCTGCATTTTGCAAGAGCTACGCGATGCTTCACACCAAGTAAGACGCGAATCAAAACAAGTACGTCAGAGAGTTGAGGAATTATTCAAACACAGCACTGCATTAGCGTAGCATTAGCAGTAACGACAACAAGGGCGCACTGCATTACTCGTAAGTTGCGACCGTTAGCTAAGTAAAACGTCTTAATACTCCGGTGATCAGGTTGAAAGTAACTTACACTTCACGCGGCAGCGATATATTCCTTAAATATAAACAGTGACAAAATGGGTGGTGATGTGTTTTGTGTTTCGCAGAGCTTGTACTTGTGAAAAATGGCCGAAAACAAGCGGCGTGATGACAATTCCGGGATACAGTAAGAGAACATCCAACCTTTTAAGCAGCAACATTGCGCCCCCAGTGGACACTTTCATTTTAAATAAAAGGGTTTAAGCATAAAGGAGTTCACTCGTCATATAGCGGTAACATTGTACTGAACCTGTATTTTCCGACACTGAATGCGTTGCTATATTTACATATTTGTTTGAAAAAGACCAGAATTACCGTTATTTAAAACTAATAATCCAATGCAAAAGAAACACAAATCACCCCTAGCCGCTAGAGGCGCTATAACAATATCTTAGCATTCGGTGCCTCTTCAATGACGTATGGAAAAATAACCCACGTCTCCGAGAGCTGTCCAGGAGCTGTTGGCAGCTAGATTTTTTTTATTTGTAGGCATGGGTAAATTAATATGCGGGTTTCTTCCAAACGATCTAAAAACCATTTTCTTTTCATTATCCGTTTTATTTCGACTATCACTCGGTACAGAACTGAGTGTGGTGACTTGCGGATCAGTCATTAAGCTGTTAAATCTTAAGCACAATGTGAGACTGCACTCGCACGACGTACGGTACGGCTCCGGTGAGTTTTCTTTCTTTTACATAGATTTTAGATCTATTTTAAAGTTTTTCATGAATACCAGCCTTTTACCTGATCTCTTAACTCAACCATAGTTATTTTTAATACTTTTCAAAAGTCAATAATGTACATTAAAAAACTGCTGATATTTTGATTACGTGGACATCACACGTATACTACTCGTTGTACTGCAGTTAAACCAGTCGTCAATGCTCTTGTGTTTGGGGCGTTAAAGTAAACAATATGCTTAGGAGCGACATCACTTAGTTGGTGACATTTGATATGTTTTTTTCTTAATACTTTGTAGAATGATGGTTCTTTCTAGCTGTAGATTTTTTTAAATCTTAATTGTCTATCAATGTTCTGCAACATATGGATCACAGATATACACCTGTGTGTAAGGCCGTTTATAAAATGTAATGTTATAAAAAATGTTTTTAAGAAGTGCTATGGGCATAAACACTAACCCATAATCAAGTGGCCGTAAAAAATCGTATGTTATAGTTGTTATATCATTCACCCTGTCACTAAGAAATGCATCATTTGAAAAAAAAGAAAAAGCAAATCTGTCCTCGGGTATTTTCTAGTGAGATACCACAGAAGTTCTAGGAAGCTTTACAACACTGTTAAAGCTGTCAGAGTGAGGTACACGTTTAATTTTTACACAATCATCAGACCATTTACAACTTTGCTTTAAAAACATTAACTTGCTTAAAGTCAGCAGCAATGATAAAAAATAAGTGAAAAAGTAAAATTAAAAACACTTTATTATTTAGTTGAATTGACAGGATATGCAGAAGCCATTAAAATACCACTCAAAATGTTTTTAAGCCTCTTTTCTAATGTATATCCTATTTTTTTTTCAACACAACAGTAAGAGTGAATACTGACTGTATTTTTGTGTGACAGGTAGTGGGCAGCAGTCTGTAACAGGGGTGACAGCAGTGGAAGACAGCAACAGTTACTGGAGTGTCCGTGGGACGAGTGACACCTTTTGCCAACGGGGCACTCCGGTAAAGTGTGGGCAGACAATCCGCCTCACTCATGTCAACACAGGCCGAAACCTGCACAGTCACTATTTCTCCTCACCCTTGTCCTCTAACCAGGTAGGTGCTGTCACCACTGTGATCCTAACATAAATGGAAATAGATGATGTTTCATGACAAGTGAAGTAAAATGAAGGATTGCTCAGAGAGCTACAGATTCCAAAAAATTATGAAGGCCCTTGGAGGTCCATAATGCCCAAAATGCCTAAAGTCCAAATTAATAATCAATTTAACCATTATGGTTGTTAAAAACAAAATATGAAATACTCTTAAAAAGTCTTAATGATTACTCTCCTCATAGATGACACAAGGTATTTCCCAACAAACAACAGTCAGATCACATTGTAATAGCATTGGACAATGTGCACTGTGATATTACAGTAAGTTGTAAGCCTCACATGACCGACTGTAATCCCAGTGTCTTATTCTAGTCAACAAATTGGTCCTGTATTCAGTGAAAAAGCCAAATGCAGTTGGTTAAGTTCTTTTGATTCTTGTTTTCACACAATTTGTCAAAGAAACAAAACGCCAGAGGTGTTGGTCGTCTTAAAGTGATAGTTCTCATGTTCTCTCACTGGGAATCAGCCTGAGACACAGACGATACTCTGTGTGAAAACATGACTGCCAAGTGACACAAACTAGCCAAACAAGGCATGTCACAGCAAGTTAAAAAACAGTTCAACTCAACGGATCTACCACATGTATTTAACTTCTTCTGCGCAGATATCTAACCACTGATGATCAATTCACACTGATGTGGAAAGGGGGAATCAAAGCTTCACAATAATTAACTTTTGTGCTAACTTAATCATTGAATTGTAATAACTTAGCATCTGATTAAAGTGTCTTATAATTGCAATTGCAATTATAAGACACACATTTTTACATTACATTTTCTGTATTTTCATATTTCAGTAAAACAGGATTTTAGTGAACTATAAATATGAAATTGGACAAAAATACAAGTAAAATGTACAAATTCTACATTTTCTACTTTACTAAGAACTAAGGCATAGAAGAACCACGGATATAACTTTGAAAATGGTCCAGCATTATTCAATGTCTTGATTCTTTTGGAAGATTTTTTACTATAATGTCTCGGGCAAGGTAGCATTTGAAAAAATAGGAAAATAGCAGATAAAGAAAAAGAAAAAACATTTCCTTTTAAATATTGCACAAAAAATTAGATGTATAACATGAAGGAAAATGTAAAATATTAAAGTAAATTTGAGACAATGACTTATCACACCTATGAAAAAAGGAACATTTAATTAAAAAGGGGTTTTAATGATGTGTAAGGAATCTATGCATTGTATTCTATGTATACATGTTTTTTTAAATTGTTTTTTTTGTGACCACAGGAGGTGAGTGCCTTTGGTGAGGAAGGGGAAGGCGACCACCTGGATGAGTGGACAGTTCAGTGTGGTGGAACAGTGTGGAAACGTGAGGAGGCGGTCCGTTTCCGCCACAAGGCCACAGAAGCACTGCTGTCAGTGACAGGGGAGCAGTACGGACGGCCAATCCACGGTCAGAGGGAAGTTCACGCCATGTCTGGACCCAGCCAGCACAGCCTGTGGAAGGCTATGGAGGGCATCTTCATGAAGCCCAGTGAGAACCTGGCTGCCAACCGACACTACAGCCACCCACACACAGAATTCTAATCTTTTCTTTTCTTTCTTTTCTCACTTGCATTCTTTTCTACCAGGGCTGAACGAGAAGCAAAACAAACTGTCATATGAGCCATAGTTTTACTGGACTTCTTTTTCTTATTTTAGGAAATATTTCTCAACATTTTCTTGGATACATCAACAAACATGATTGTCTACATTTGATTTGTGTCTACATCAATCTTTAGTGTCCATGTTTTAATAGTAGCGATTCAAATATTTCATTTAATAAGACAATGCAGCTGTTGCAATTTGGATATTGCACTTTCATTCTTTGAAATGACAGTAACTGTGGTTCATTTTCAGTTAAAGTTCAGCCTGACTGTTTAGCTTTTTATTCATATTCTCACTGTTCTATCCGTTTTACTGGCAGCAACCAGTGGATGTTTTTCTGATTTACTTTTGAATTTTATTTCCTGAAGAGACTTTGCCAAAATCTTTTATCATTCAAGATGCAATAGTTACGTTTCCTTGCATTCCGACCTCTCGAATTCACAACAGTATTTGAATTTCCATTGTAAAAATGTTAAACTGATTTCGACACAGTGCCTCATCAGCAAGTCATTGTAGCACCACTTGTTTAATTTGTCCACTGGATCGAAACAATAGTGAACAGCTGCTTCAGATCCCACCACCAGATTGAGATTGATTGTCTCTGTTCTTTTGACGTCTCTTAAATATCACTTACCTTGTTATTCCCACCATCAGGCTACGTATTGAGTTGAGAAAAAAAAAAATACTGTTGTACCTTCAGAAGTCAAACTGCCACTGCCACACTACAATTGTTTTATCATATGAACACTTGCTGCCTTGTGAATGTACAACAACAGAAGTATTAAAGGTTCAGTTTACGTGTACAAGCAGTTGATGTAAGAGGTATGTCTTTGAGCTGTCTCTCAGTTACACTACACTCATCCAGTATTATTATTACTATTTTAATTAATCATTTTCATCATAAGCGTTAAAATGCAAAACCACTGTACGGATTCTTTAAATGAAATATTTTTTTCAAATCTGTTATTCAGTAGATTCACCAGTTGGCCTGAATTGGTCATTAAATTGTATGTAATGTTTGTTACAGCGGTGCCTTAATTATTATTACTTTGTGGAGCCCTGTAAGACTTTGAACAATTTTTCCTTTTTATTGTGTTTAATGATGTTTTCAAGCCGCATTCTTCTCAAACAGTGATGGGCAGTGTTACCTAGTTAACTAGTGTTAACTAATTATTTTCAGATTCAGTGCAGCAAATAATGACCCTGCACTAACTGACATCAGAGAACAAAGCACTTGTTTTTTTCTCTGGTGGTATGTTTTTATTCAGATTGAGAATAATCCTGTTTATTCTCAGTCATTTTCCAGGTGCTAGGACGAGGGGTTTTGCTTACAATCATGTCATTTATGTATGAAAGTGTAAGAACAAATGTGGTTTTAGTTTCATATGGGAAGAAAAATTACAATAAAATACCTCACAAAGATGTCTGGAGCCTGAGTTTCTGTCTGGATTTTTTGTTCCACTGGTTAAATAAGACAGATGACAGACTTTTCCTGAGCGGCTTCGTCTGCTGGATATAAAATAATGACATTATCAATCACAGTTGTTGAATATGCAGTTCATTTTTGAATTATCATATTGAAGCCAAATGAAAGCCCACTGTAATGCAGCTAATTCACACACTGGAATCTCAATAAAGCCCAGCAGATGAACGCAGGCTAATGAGTTTGCAAGGGACTCAAGTTAATAATTTGTTCTTGGACCATTACATTTAGCACAGTGCCTTGTTTATCTGCCTAATGGCATGTTTTGGTTCATTATCTGGCAGCTAATGGGGTTTGGGTGCACTAGCTATGAGGCTACTCACACTTGTGTCTGAACTGTTCCTCCCATTAATCATTATTCAGAGTGAGCGCTGATGCCAGCACTATTCCACACAAAGCCGCAGGAAGCAAATTAACAAAAGTGTGAATTAACCTCTAGTATCACACACACAGTATTAGGCAGGATAAGAGGTGTGTGATACAGATATGACTTGTGATAACAGACTCTGCTCCTGCTGGCCCTTCCTCACTCTCACTCCTGTTATATGTGCTACTCTTCCTCATGGTACCAATTCAGGGAATGGGGGCTGCAGTGGATGATGCTCTGTGTAAACTACAGTGGTTTATTACTATTTTAAGGTTGTTATTGGAAAGGACACAGTGGTAAGAACAACAAATGACAAGCAGTGCAACAATACTGACATTTAAAGTACAACCTCATCTGCCAGAAAAGCTGGTGAGCCTATTAATATCCAATGAAAATGGAAAAAATAAAACTGAAGGCTGCTTATTCATCTAAATCGTTACTCATCAGGCAACAGGATGAAAAAAATGGGGAAAAAATTCATTTTCACTGACCTCATTCTACTTTTAAAATAAATTTAGTAATAAACACCTTCAACACATCACAAAACTATTAAGTTTACCATAAATAAAGCTGAAGCATTGCTTTTTTAAAGGTGGCTCAGTGAAAATATTGAAATGCTCGTTAAATATTGGACTCACTTTTCTGAAACAGCAAATGCAGTAATCTCAAAGTTTAAAAACCATGTCTCAAACAAAAACTCACCTTTTTCTATCAAAACAACTTTTATTGCATAAACATATATGGATATACAGTTTTTATATATTTATATATAGATTAGATTAAACAGATTAAACTTATTTGCATTTTTAAATATCCATTCAGTTGGTAACTATTGCTGTTTTCCTTCAGCTTTTCTAAGCAGCATGCCAAGGTTTTTTTTTAACATAAAGTATCTTTTGTTTTAGTTTCATCTCTATACAGTCTATAAGGTAAAAACATGTCCTGGTAAAAACAAATCTGAAAAGCAACTTTCAAAAACATGAAAATCAGGAACAGCTCCTATGTTGTTACAGATGTACAGTACAACAGTGTAAACTTCGAAAAGTGGCAATAAAACTTTTTTTTTTACCTCTCCAGTGAGCATGGATCAGGGTGTTGATCAGTGACACAAACATCAGAAGGTTGTGGAGGATCAAGTGATTTATGCTGATTTCATAAGAAGCATGACAACAGTTGAAAGGTCTGGTGGTTAAATGGTATTGAATTAACAAAGACACGGACAGATACAGTGGAAAAATACATTACACTTGATCTTAAACAGGACTGCGAGGCTGTGCAGACACTCTGTAAGTGACTACAACACATCCTTTTGTGTTCAAAGTCAGATTTGAACGTGCACAGTGAGACCCACAGACTCTACCATGAATAGTGATGATCATGGCGGTGGTGGGGAAGATGATAACCATGATGATGTGACCTTGTATTTGCATATTTATGAAAATGTCCTCCCCTGCACCCTGATTTGATTAATAGCTGGTAGAAACTAGAAACATGGCTATTATAGTATCAAGTCAAATGTGGGACAGTGGAACACATGTGGCTACATCTTAAAATCAGCAAACGTCAAATGGATTTTGTTGTCTTTGAGAAAGAGTAGGGTCTGAACAACAACATGCATACTGATTTACAGTATAATACATTTTTGCTGTTATACTTGATCATACAAAGCTTTTGTATTTTTCTTAAATTGGTTTTTATATTAAAAGAAAAACCCTCTGGCATCATGCCCTCTTTGTTGTTTGTCTAACACAGGCAGTTAATAAGCTGACATGTTTACACATTAGTTTGTCATGTTTTCATCAGGCCCAGCCAAATACAACAGAACAAATGATTGTATTAGGGCAATAAAGTGAAAACAAGACAATCAATATCCTAGCTATTTTCAAGGGGAGCACCGTGCAATTTTAGGAATCCATATGTTGGCATTGTAGTAAAGTATAACAAAATTAATATAATAAATATGTTTCACAATTTAAATTCTCTCTAAGTACATCTCAATCTCCATAAACAATCACGAAAAAAAGTTATTTTCACTAGAGTGAAATGTGTTTCATCAATGCTTTAGATGTGTTAATATAAAAAAAGTGGCAAAACTAACAGAACAACTAAAACTAACAAAGTCACAGGACAGTTCCAGCTCTGACAGTAGAGTTAAAGTGACATCATTTTAATGCCCAGCCATGCATCGACAGAAAAATAAAAACATATTAATGCTCATTTTTACCTGCAGTGATTTTAATGGTCAACCTTGGGTTTCTCTGTAATAAAAATGGAGCGTGACTATAAACACCTTCTCCATGTCAGCATGCTGTGATAAAACTGTTGTTCTATCAAATCTGAACCATAAAACATAAAACCAACCACAAGTGTCACCTGGTCTCATTCTCTTATCAACTCTTGAACTCCACAGCAGTTGTCCTCCATTTTTCTTTTGCACTATGTATAGGCTTTGTGCAAGAAAACTTTCCCATGGGCCAGATAATTATTTCATTTTATGTTGTTCCATTCTATTAATATTACGTTGTAATTAATATGTATATATCTTTTTGCAAAATAAAATACCAGTATCCAGAACGGTGACAACATGATTCCTTAGTTGTTACAAAAACAAGTTTACTATAACAAAATCAAAACTGCCCTTGTGAGAAGGTGGGCTGAAAATGTTTCTCATGCCACTCCACCTGTCCAAAACCAGCTGCAGTTCTCCTGTGAACCACTAGAATGCAACATTTTCCTAGCAGAGAGCTGCGTCTACAGTGTGTCACAGCTCTCTGCTTTTTAGCCCTGATTTGTCTCACTAGTTTCTACCCTTCATACAGTCAGCTCTTCAGTGGAATGATACGCCATGCAAGCTAAGCAGCAGTAAAATTCACATTTAACAGAAGTCAGAGAAATGTCGGCTGCAGCTCTGTGACTACTGCCACACATTTTTGTGGTCTGTTGACAAAACAAGACAGTTT